AGAAGCCATCACGGGTTTGTGTTTACCCTTGCCAGGCCATGGAGCTGGATTTTATCCACCTTGGCTGAGAAGTTTTCTATTTTCTGCGTTGCTTTCTAAAATGTTTTTGCTCATGCCTTGTCTCTTCCAGACATCGCAGGGAGGTGGGAGGCATTGCAGTTTGAAAGCCTGAATTGCCCATTTAGGGGCTTCTTGGCTTTCCAAAAAAAATCTTAGAAATTTAGCCTAGTGAGTCATATCACACAAGAAGGGATCCGTTCCAGCCCGGCTGGAATAATGCAGGTAATAATTTCAATTTTCTTGGAAGGTTAAAAATATTTACCTAGATTTTTGTTCTGTTTGTTTGGGTTTTTTTGTCTTTTGTTTTTTTTAGACAATACCGGTTTTTATCTGATCATTGTTCAAGCTGTATGAAATCAATGGAAGACTCTGGTAGTGAGAGTTGTAGGAGTAGGAAGCTCCTTGGTAGGGCAGAAGCATCACTACTGACCCCACACTTTCTAAGGAGCCTTTTCAGTTATGAATCTATTTAGCAGGTCTGAGAGCCTCCGAAATTACATTTTGAGTGAGAACACAAGACTTAAAACTCCAGAAGTACTATTCTAAGGTAAGATTCACAATATCATTAAAAGAAAAAGGACCTGCCCAGAAGAGGAGAGCCTAGATCCCAACAGCCCTTGAGAGCATCTCATGCTGTCTCTCCTGGAAGATCTTGGGACCTTCTCTGAGTATGTTTGCTGATTTCCTCACCAGCAGCCAGCCCTACAGCAGACTGAGCAGCAGCGAGGGCCTCCCTGAGGGCTGAGGATGTTTAGGGGAAAATGAAAAGGTGTAATCAGGTACATCTCCTAAGCCTGAGCTGAGAGAAGACTGGGGTTAGATGAAGGAAGAGATGATGCAAATTGTCACTCATCCTTTCAAATGGCATTTCCTTTCTTCTCCCCTTTTCTCCTGTTTTCAGGTTTGTAAATATTTTGGCAACTTTCCTCTCCCCTTTCAATTTGCTCAATAGCACCTAGTTTAGGCTAGTACCCGAGACCTCTGTAATTCCCTGGCTCTTAGTAGCCTCCATTGGGAGGGAAATTCAGGCCAGGATCTAGATTATCCCAAATTGTTCCAGATTTCTCCAGCAGAGCCAGCTCTCAAGAGCCAAGTTTGCTCTTTCTTTGACATGGAGGCAGCAAAGTGGCTCGCAAATCAAGTTCTATGAGTAATCTAAATAAAAGCTCCAATCTCCTGCTTGTGGCATTTGGAGCGAGCCCCATTTTATTATCCAAGAATGAGCCAAAAAAGCTTTACAGAGTTACGTAGCCTTTCTGGCTGGGGTCGTGTCTCTGAGTAAGGAATTCCACTCTAGCAGAGCAGCTCCCTTTAACATGGAATTATTTCAACAGGAAAAGGACATTAGTGGGGTGGGAAGGGTGTTCTTACTTTTGCAGATAGGGACCTTGTTACTCCATGTCCCGTCCTTTAGACACTCGATCTGGAAGGAGTCGCTTTCCAGGTTATCCTGTGCAGAAGATACCAGCAAAAAAAAACCCCACACTATCAACGTACAAGGCAAGGAAATGAATCTCTCCATACAAAGTCTATTTTTTGGTGATTCAGTCAAGATATGTTAAGATCCCCCTGGAAGAGTATTCTTCCAGATAAAAAAAGCAATAAAATCATAATTAAAAACTTAAAAAAGTTTTCTTATTGCCAGCAACTCAGTGGCGTGCTGAATGCAAAAGAACTGGAGTAATTTGTTCCTGTTCTAGGTGCTGGGCTGTATAAAGGGGCAGGTCTGCAGGAAGGATGGGTCTGGGAGGAGATTAGAGAAATACCCAGCTCCATGTTGGAAGTCAAAGCTGGCTACTGGTTTGTAGGGAAGACAGCCACCCTGTGAGTCACCCACGCTCCCTGCGGTTCTCAGCTGTTTCCCTGCCAAAATTCTGGCCCTCTTGACTTGCCGAAGCTGTCCTAAAGTCCCAGAGGACCTCCTGATCCAGAGGCTGGCCTCTGCAAGGCTGCCTGGGAAGCTGAGGCTGCTCCCGCCAAGATGGGGAGCAGGCAGAGCCCTGGCAGCTCTCCTGGGCTTTTGCTGACTCTTTTTCTGGTAGAGGTGCCAAGCCTGGCACCCTGTGAGCTGGCCAGCTCTGGAGGGATGAGAAGAGAGTGGCTTGGCTAAGTGCCACCTCCTCTCTTCCTCTGCATCTTTGGGAAGTGAAGTTGGTAGCTCTCAGAAGAGGCTTTTTGCTTGGACCTGGGAAGGGGTAAGGATGGTGTGTGGGCTGTTCACACTCCCAAAGATGTAGTGGCTCTGGGAGGAAGGATCCCCCCTTTCTTGCCCATCTGCCCAGCTCCATGTCATCACCCCATACCTTCAGTACTTTGTATCCAGTGTTGCAGCTGATGACAACCTGGTCTTTGAAAGTGTACTTGGCTTGGGAAGGCTCTATCTTCCCATTGATCGGTGGTTGCACCAGTGGACATGGGTTTCCTTTGAATAAAAAGCAAATGAAGCAAAACAAAAGTCAGATTAATAAATTAAGAATTCATTAAGAACACAGAATCCCGGCTCTGAGCCACCCAGTCCATGTAGCAGAGTCGGAGCATCCCTGCCTTGCTCTATTAGCTTACACTGGCTCCAGGTCTTTCTTCCAGTCTGGAATACCCTGGGCTTTGGACATTACAAATCTGGGAGCTCATAATGGTAGCTTGTGTGATTATCCTGCCCCAAACTGTTCTGCTTTGCAATGCAATACACCAGGGCCCACCTGGTGTAGTGAACAACCCCCCACCTCTTTTTAGGGAGGGCTCCATTTTATTTTATTTTATTTTATTCCTGTGATTTCTGGAACAGATCTTTTCTGCAGACAGGATCACAAACTACCCAACCTATGGTTGCCACCTGCAGGGTTTATAAAGCCCTTCCCATTGCCCAAGCCCAGCAAATGGAGGAAAGCAGCAGGAGTTACCAATTGCTGTATATGACAGCTTCCAGCCCCTGTTCTCTCCCGAGTTGTCACTGTGGAACAGGATCTGCACACTGTTGGTTTGGGTTTCAATGAGTCCTGGGGACTTCTCTCCACAGAAAGGGCCAAACTCCCTATGGCCAGCTTTGATCTGCCGAGGCAAAGAAGAGTGGGTGGTTAGAGGGGGATCTTTGACCCCTGAGGATCGCTTCACTCTGAGGCTAACGGATGAGGCTGCAGCAGGGTCAGTGGGGCTTAAGCACCACGTGCAACTGAAAAAGGGTCACTGTTGGCTGAGACTGTCAAAACTAGACGTGGTAAGAGACATGGAGTCAACTGAGCACAGGGCTCCTGCTTGCTTCATTATCCCTGTTTAGACCAGAGCAGCTCTGGTCCCGCTGCCAGGGCACGGGGAAAGTGACAGGAGAGCCAAGACAGGAGGAGTGCAGAGCCCAGCTTACCTTGATGTAGTCGTAGGGACAGGTCACCTCAGGGTGGTCTTCCACATCAAAGCTGTCCTCAAAGCTTAGGGTGATGAAGAAACCCTCTTCTAGCTCGATGCGGTACAGGCAGTCTGAGCTCTTGGGGTAGGGGCTGGGGAAGTCAGCACTGGTGATCACCCCACTTCTCTGGGTGTAGAGGTTGTCACTACACTCCACTGAAACACAGGTATGGCTCTCTCAAAGCCCTGTCAGCCATGCCCCAGCCCTGACTGCACTCGGGAGCTCTCCCGGTGGAGTGGGGTCTGCTGGGTGGTCTGTGTACCCTGAAGAGGGGTCCATGTGAGGAGAACCTCACACAGCCAACCTCCCAATATGCCTGTGACACAGAGATCCCAGGATGAGAGCTACTCCCAGCTAATCTACATGATGCAGATTCAGAACAGAGATTAAACCTTTTCACTTCTCTGACTTGAGGAGCTCTGTAGAGCCTAGCTGAGGAGCACAGGCCATGGCAGAAACACCTTCTCATGCAAGAGAACTGCAGGCCTTGGACACTCTCCAGTCCGAGGCTATTGGATTGTAGTGGAAGAGGCACCTCGCCCCTCCTGGCGGTACAAGAGGGCAGCTTTGCCTGTGTTGGGTAGCTCTGTTGCCTGCTTGGGAGTCCCTCTGTGTGTCCATCCCCATGCCCAAGCTGTGCCTGGGCAGTACCTTTGCAGGTCCTGTTGTCGGAGTGGAGGATGTAGCCGAACCTGCAGGAGCAGTAGTACCCGCCGATGTAGTTGTGGCAGTAGTGGTCGCATGCCAGCTCCTCGTCACTCTTCTCCAAGCACTCATCCACATCTGGGATGGAGATAACAAGGAAGGGAAGTCATCCTGCAGCCTCTCACGCATCATGTCTCCTGGGGATATTTGCACAGAGCTGAGGTATTAGTTGTCCCACATGGTGGGTTACACAAATACCCAGCAAGTTCCATGTGGCTCAAAAGCTGCACACAAGGACTTCTCCTGTTCGGGTCCCGAGGGCTGGCCTGGGATGTGATCCTAGCAAATTTGTTATGCTGCCCTAGCAAGTCAGCCCTGCAGGCTTAGCTGCTGCTTACCCACAGCGGTGTAATGGGCGTCAAAGCCGGTGAAGCGTTCCTCGTTGGAGAAGTCAGACCTGAACGTCAGCCCCATGTAGGGCCCCGGGGACAGGATCACTTGCTGGCCAGGAGCCTGCTCTGTGTCTGTCGTCTCCCTGCCACAGAAGATTGCCAGCTCCTGGTCCTCAGCTTCGATCTATCACCAGAAAGAACAGGTAAGCACTCCATAGGGCTTGGGACTTGCCCCTGGGCTCTGCTGAGCACCTGGATAGCAAAAGAGTTTGACACGACCCTGGGGTGCTCCCCAGTGCTGGTCACCTCTGAATGTCCTCCTCACGGGGCTGTGGGTGTCTGCCAGACTGGAGAGCCTGCGGTGCTCTCCTGGGGAAGGTCGGGCTGGGCTTGGAGTCATGCTCTGCACCTCAGCGCTCAGGACTCTCCCTGTGCTTTCCCAACCAAGGCTCCTCAGTATCTCCATGGGGCTAGCTGCACATCTGACCACTTTGATGGCCACAAGCATAAGGAGGCACCGTTGGATGCCCTGTCCTGCTCAGCCCTACTCTGCCTTGGCCGTAAAAATCAATTTCCACCTCACCTTCTGCAGTCAAGTGTGACCCCAGGGATGCTCAGAGCATGGCAGCTCTGACTCCCACTGCTCCGTCTCTCTGAGATGTCATTACTGCTGCAGAGCAATTAAATAATTTCTGCAAAATGAGCACAGGGGCTCAGGTCTGCCCACTCCTGCCTGTGGTCACCCTCTGAAGCAGATGCTGAGAGAGCAGGTAGCATCTTGGAGCTGAACCTAGGGCTGGCATGGACATGCTTGGTCCTGTCCCTGCCACCCAGGGTCCCTGTGTAGCTCCAGACATGCAGTACCAGGTGCTGTTTGGACTCTGAGCCATGAGGGGACCAACGGGCCAACATGCCCTGTCACTGTGCCAGTGTGTTCAGTAGTTTCTATGTGCATCCCTCTAAAGCACAGCCTTGCCTGTACCTTAAAGCACTATAAGCCCTGCAGGAACCACCCAGTTCTCCCTGGAAGCTCCTTCCCTTCTTTTTTCCTCGATGTTTTCACTGGGACCATTTAAGCACTGACCCCATCTCCTTCTCCTGAACATCTCACCCTCAGCTCCTGCCTCAACCACAACCTCTCCCAGCTCACTGCCAGCACCCTGGCTGCTTTCCCCTGGGAGATTTGAATATGAATAGCCCCTTGGCTGAGGAATTCAATGAACACCACCACTTCTCCAGCCTGTTGGAGCCCATGCCAAGCAAACACTATAGAGGCTGTGATGAAATGTGCAGCCCCCTGGCCCGTGCTGGGGGGGGCGTGGGGGGAAAACAGCCTCCTGCTTGGAGACCCACGGGGTCCCAGAGGTGTTACAATGACATCTCCAGCTTCCATCCCTGTCTCCTGGAGACCCTCAGGATGCACTGGCCAGGGTGGGTCTGGGGCTGAAAGGGAAATTTCCCAGGGCTGAACAAGCAGGAGGAAACTCACTCACACCAGGGAAAGCCAACATGGAAATGGCAACTCAGCATGCCTTGACATTGCCTCCAGATATTTTCCATCCTCTCATACAAGCTGGAGCTGGCCAGAAAAGAGAGAGACTTTCCGATGATAATTTTTGAGAATTTGGAGAAAAAACACGCGCCTCTCATTGGGACAAAAACCCAATTGAATTTTTTTTTTTTTTTTTGTGAAACAGCATTCTGAAAAAAAAGGAACACAAGTAATTTGGGATCCATCTGTTTTCAATCCCTTTGAAATATACTGTGGTGCTTTAGAATTGCTTCTCAATCTGAAAGAGATTGTTTTGAAGTCAAATAGTGGTTCAGACTGAAAAACAGGAGTGCCATCACCAAAAGTGGAGGAAAATGGCATTTCGGCCCTGACATGCCGTCTCAGCTGCCCGAGCGTGTGGCACGCAGCCTCTTCTGCAGGAACTGCTTTTCCTTAAGGAAATCTGTGGGAAGGAGCAACTTCCAGCCAGCTCTTCGGTGTGGGGCTCGTGGCTGTCACCTCTGCAGGGACGCAGCCACCATGTGAGCTCCTATCCCTCATCTCCAGCCCTGCCCAGTGCAGGACCCACAGCATGGCAAGTCTGAGGCACAGGAAAACCTCCCCAGTGGTGCCCCATGTCTGGGCTCAAGGATGCTCCTGCTGTGAGCCCCAACGCTGTCCCCAGCATCCCTGGACAGAGCCCTGGAGAGGCAGGATGAGGCCCGGGAGTGCCGTGCTCTCCTCACAGAAGGTATCCATGGCCCCTTATCTCTGATGGGTCCCATGCCCTGAGCCCCAGGGAGCAGAGGCAGCCCTCCAGCAGTAAACTAAACAGAGAGGTCACCATCCCTGGTTAATATTTGCTGCTTCTGCTGAGGACTGTATACTTTTTTTTGTAGATCATTTACATCCAGCAAGCAGGCTGGTAATTAAATCCTGGTTGTTTGTTTGGAGTTTCTCCCTCTCGGGTCACGATGTCGACGTTTTCACTAGAGAAGATGTGTCCCTAAGGGAAATATCAATTGCCACAGAGAAATTCCCTGTAAAAATACGCTGAAAGAATCCTGCTTTGAAAAATAAAATACAGCAACACTCTCGTGCCTTAAATTTACCCTTGCCACTGCCTCCCACTGTCTTCCCTCTTCCTGCTACCTCCTCATCCCCTTGTTAAGATTTCTGCCCCTCTGGACGGAGGCAGATGGGGGTTCACTCCCTGGCTGTGGCTCTGCTGCCCTAAAATTTGGCTTGTGCTGTGGCTAAGAGAAAGGATGACCCAAGCTGTGTGGCCTCCTTCTGCCCCACATTGATGGCCTCCTTCAGGGAATGAGCCAGGAGCTGGGGTGCCCCAGCTTGGCAAAGAAAGGCTGCCCCAGGGCACAGGCTGCTGGGGATGCTGGAGCAGTGACACACTGGAGATGCCTTCTGCAGAGGGTGGGTAAATGAAATGCCATGAACGTTGAGGGGAATTTGGCCTGAATGTCAAGAAGAATTTGGCTCAGACGTCGAGGGGAATTTGGCCCGGCAGTTCAGTGTCTGCTGCCGGAGGGGGGAAGGGAGACGGCAACACGGAACTGCAGCCGCCACCCCCCCTGCTCCAGCCCTCCAGGAATGCACTAATTGGACTGATGAAGGCCAAACATACCACTAGTAATATATATAAATGGCTCATTAGGCAGAGAAATCGCAGCGCTGGGCTGAAGACACTGGGAACATGACATGGGGAGAAGATGCTCAGGGACAGGGAAGGGCATGAAACGGCCCCTGCCGAGCTGCCTTGCAGTTTGAGTTCATGCAAGAAGGCAACACCCAGATGAATGGGGATTCTTTTTTGCAAAATGACTGCTGCTGCCTGTTGGAAATGAGGCAGGGATGGGACAGCCCCAGCAGGAGCCTCCATCGAGGTCTCCTGGAGACTCTCTCCCCAGCATGTGACCTCTCCCCGATTAAGGATCCTTTGGTGTGCAAATGTGCACCTGAATTTCCACGGGAACACACAGGGCAGCAGCCCTGCCGTGAAGGAAATGGGAGGATGGCTGGTTTCCCCTGTTGTGGACTTGGCTCAGTGTCTGGAGACTGTCCTGTCCAGCAGGTTTCTGTGAACACATGACCTATTTCTGGCCAGGCCTGTTCTCTGGGGAGCTGGGGGCCACAGAGAGCCCAGGTGGGATGCTGGGGTGCTGATGGAGCTGCTGGCTTGCTCCCATGCCTGATCCTCCTCCCTCCCCTGCACAGGGTGGGTGACTGTGTTCTCCAGTGGCTCAGGAGGTGGCCAGTGCCACCAGACTCATCTGCACAGAGCCAATGGGATGGGAGAGGTAAGTAGCAAAGCCCTGGGCTCTCCTCTCTTCCCAGTTGCCTCCTGGGATTTGAAGTGCTCCTCTTAGGACCCAACACCCCTCAGGGCAGAGGTTACCCCGTGGCTGAGGCCAGGTTACAGTAACAAAAGAGGATGCTCTTCTCCTGACCACCCCCCCCCCAAAACCTTGATTTGTGCTTTTTCCCCCTCCTTTGAGCAGAGGAAGGTCTGAATGGGTCTCTTGCACCCTTCTTGCAGCCCAAGGCTTGGCATGCACTGCCCTGAACTCACCATTGAGCTCCTTTCCTGGCCCTGCATGGCATCTGGCAGTTGTCAGGAATCAAGGATGTCCCTGAGGACCATGCCACCACCTTCCTGGGGACAATGCCACCAAGCACTTGGCAAGGTGTATCATGCAGCCCTGTCCCATGCAGGCGGCTGGCAGACTGTGAGCTGCTATGCACCCAAAACGCCATACCAAACTGCAAATCCTTCACAATCTCCCTCCCCAAGAGCCACTTTCTTGGGGTGGTGACACTAACTAATGCTCTCCCTTCAGCCCTGCCTCCCCAGCTTGGCCCATATCCCTGTTTTCCTCTCACCAGCCCATCACCAGGACGAGGAAAAGCTGTCACTGAGCAGTTGGGTACCTTGAGCAAATTTATTTGCAGCCACTGTTTTTGTCTGAGATGCCTGACCAGCTCTGGGCACCCACACATGGGGTTAGTAGAAGTCCTGCCTGGGTGAGCACTGAATGGCACAGATCCTCCCTGGGGACATGGGTGTGAAGAACAGCTGCAGCAAAGTATCTGAAGTGCCACACGTGGGCAGAAGCCTGACCATAAGATGAAGAGGTGCATCCAAGGGAGACTTGGGTGGTGTCAGGAAAGGTGGAACCCACAGACCCACAAAATGTCATAAATTCTCTGCCCTCCTGCCCTCAGGCACAGCTGGAAAGACCCATCACAGGTGGCCCTTGGGCTTGAGGTAGTGAAGGGAAAGCCCTGTGACATGTGCTGAAATCTGCCAGGCCTCAAGCTTGTGCCATCCTGAATCAGGACTCAGTGGTAGGGGTTGGGGTGAAGAGATGTAAACCCCATGAGGACTGAGCCAGCAAGGTCTTGGTGTGGGCTGACTGGGAGAAAATTCTCTCATCACAGGCCCATCAATCAAGGAGCTGGTCCCAAGCTGTCTGCCAAGCCCTCAGGGGCTGATTTCATTCCAGGGCTTGACTGAGCAATGTGCAAAACCTAACGGACAAGACCCCAGGTTCAGATCTCCCTAATAAGCTCAGGGGTTTACTTGTGAAGGCCCCTCAGAGGTCAGGATTTAACCTCCCATCTGTGACCCTGCACTGGGATTTCATCTCCCAGATCCCCGTCTCTGCCACAGCTCTCCTCAGTGACACTGGCCAAGTCACTTAACCCTACATCCCAGTCATGGACATGGCTTTTGGAGTGCCCCGGGCCAGTGCTGGAGACTTGTGTGCAAAAGTGCTCAGTGCTACATGACTCCAGAAAGGAGCTGGACAAACCACAGTGAGACCCCTTGCAAATGAGGAACCCCTAAATGAGCTCCCTGGGGACAGCGATGAGCCGGGCAGAGCCTGCCAAGGAGCACAGTGGAGGGCAGAAACAGAAAGCCCAGCATGGATGGCTGCTCCTTCCCCATCCCCCTGGACCCGGCAGGCAGCTGAGGGTGGCCATCCAAAACCTGGACACAGGCTGGCTCCAACGCGCTGGGGCTGAGCTCAGCTTCCCAAGGCACCGTGTGCCTGGTGTTTCCTATCTGCATGGGGCTTCTCCGGGTGGATATTTTGGGGGTGACTTTTCCTCCTGTTCTTCCTCACTGAAGGACCACTCTCCCTCTCTGCCACCCTCGCTGGCACAAACAAGCCTCCTGCCCTCTAAGTGTTTGTCTAGGAGCCATGTTCTTCCTATATATATACACACAGATGCACGTATGTGTGTATATATATCAGTATGTGTGTATATAAATAAACAGCTATTGTTTTAATTAGCCATTGTTTCAGAGTTCTGGAAACTGTTCCCCTCTGAGGACCACCCCGAAGGCAGAGATCTGCCTGAGTTTACAGCTTGGCTCTCCCTGAGCTTGCACTCAGGATGACTTCCTATGCTGCTTGAGAGCTCAGGCCTGTGGGCAGCCAAGGAGGGAAGGAAAGCAAAGGTCTGGGCATTGTGGCTTTCTTACTGTCCTGAGGTGGGTCCCCACCTTGCATCGAGGCTGTTCAGCTCTCATTTTGACCTTCTTATGGCTGTCAAGATGATGAAGACCTTGCTGGAGAGCCTGGTCAGATCCACGGTCAGAACAAACCAGAATGTGTTTCTTCACACACATACACAGAGACATATAATGAGGTACATAACCTCTGCAACTCTCTGCCACGGGATGCTGCAGGGATTAAAGTCACCCAGGAGTTCACAGACTAATGGCACAAGTTCATGGAGGGGGAATCCACTGAGTCTCATTGACTGCAGAGATACCACCTGTGGCTTTCTGAGCATCTTCACTAGGACTGGCAGAGTATTCCAGAGAAGCATCTCTACATATTGGGTCTGTAATCATACCCTGTCCCAGGAGGAAAACAGCCACGGAGTCATTTGTTGCTCTCCTCAACATTTCCTAAGTGGATGGTTTAGCAGCATCAAGATTTCACCCCTACACAGAAGTACAGCCTTCAGACCTTCCACCCATTTTCAGTGCTTCTCAAGTGTAATTCTGTGGTGGAGGCTCTGCAAGCTGAGCTACAGCCCTGAGCAAATTTATACAGCTGAGATCTAAATCCCCGTGAAAAATACCGCCTTCTTATGGAAATCCAGTGGCAGGGAGAGCTGTGGTGCCAAGTTGGCACCGTGGCCAAGTAACAGGGAGCCTTATGAAAAAGGAAAAATGACCAGGGGGTGAAGGGCGGGAGGACGGCTACAGCTTGAAATGGGGAGAGTTTCCAAGAAACCCGCTCCTTGAGCTTACTGGGTTTTAAAAGCAATATATCTCTATATATGTCCCTGGCCGTTGTGCTTGGAGAAGATCCAGGAGAAGCAGAAAGAACTAATCAAACCTCAATGAGAGCTGTTAGTAGCATAATGAGTGCCAGCACAAAGGGGAAATTAAAGCAGTGAACAACAGAGCCTAGAGAAAAAACCCACAAAAGTTTGCTTTGTTTTCTTAGGGCAAGAATAAAACAATAATTTCAAATATCTGGCAACTCGTACCAGGGCTCAGTTCTGCAGTTCCCGATCTGGGTGCAACCTCCACCTGCCTCCGTGCAGGGGGGCAGGGTGAGGCTTTTGCTGGATGACAGGGTAAGGCATACTCAGCCAGGCAAACCTAGAAAGCGCCCGCTTGCTACTGCTGCTCTGCTAGAAAGCACCAAACCTGACCAAGTTCAAAGACATGGAGAACCCAGCTTGTCATGGATGCAAAGGAGGGTCTTGCTGGAAAGACCTGTGGTGCAAGAGGCAAGGATGCTCCATGGTACTGCAGTGTGTGGCCCACCACAGTTTCTGATGGGTTTTTGCCAAGCAACGAAGCAGACTGAAATCTTCTGGGTTTGGCCATGACAACTCCTTGGGAACCTCCATAGCTTGTTTTTGCTGCAGGTATTTGCCAGCACCAGCCCTGAAGCTTGTATCTCAGCTGTGGAATGGGTTTGCATTGACCCCAAGGGAGGTCAGTGTTTGGGTCTGTGCTCTGCTGCTTGCTGGAGGCTCTGCTTGCAGAACACAACTTACAGCCTCAAGCTCAGGTCTAGCCTTTCCCTTTTGCTTCCCTGGGGGTAGGACAGGGTGTCCCAAGAACTTGTGGGCCAGGGAACCAGGCTGGCTGCAAGGTGCACCCATGGCCATGGCCTGGCAAAGGGTGCCCGACTCAAGAGTTCTTGCATGTGGCTGGCATTGGAGTGGCACGGGCTGAAGGTTCAGCCTAGGGAGTTTCATCAGCTTGTAGATGTGTAAATCCCATTTGGTCCAATGAGAACTAGGTGCCAAAATACTTTCAGAAATCTGGTCATCTGTGGCTAAGCTCTGAATATGGTGTCCTGCTCTCTGTTAGTCCAGTGGGTGTTGCCATCTTAACTGTGGTCTCCCAATTGTCCACTGGACTGACAACTCCTGTGCCGAATAAATGGGGGACACCAGCTTGCTCCCCGCTTTTCCAGCACTGACCCCTCTCAGCTGGCCAAACAGGTCTACTGTCTAACCCACCCTCTGCCCTGCGATATCACAGCTCACCTTCACATAGTCATATTCACAGAGGTAGGATGACTCCAAGTCAAAATGCATGAAGTAAAGCTTGACTTTAAATCCATCGGGCACAGAGATGTTCCATGTCACTTCTGAATCGCTGGGATAGGAATCAGGGAAGTTGGGAGACTGGATCTCCCCAAACATGTCTGTCAGCTCGATGGCATCTGCCACGCAGAGCAGCAAGGCACAAAAGGACCAGATCAGGGGGTACCTGGAAAACACATGAGGAAATTAAATGAAACTCTGTCAATGCCACAACCTGTTGAGGGCTCAGTCTCTTCTCCCAAGTAGGTTGTGTAAGGTCACAGACTCAAAACGGCTGGGAGAGGAGGTGCTGCATCATGTCACCGTGAGCAACGCCCCTGCCAAGCCATGGGGAAGTGGATGTGAGGGTGGGAGCTGCACCGGGCTTTCAGGAGGGGAAAGCCCCTTGGGAAGGTGTGTGACACAGGTGCCACTCGTGTTGCAAAGGCCCCTCCACAGCTCCCAGCCAGCTCTGGGCACCACAGGAACTTGGTGCTTCTCACACTTCTGGAGGCAGCAGCTGCTGGTAACGCATCCTGTAACTAACAGGGCTCTGATGGGTAAATCTTCATGTAATGGAAGAATAAACATAAAGATGCTTAATAAAATCGTGACACTTTCTTAATCAGTTTAATGAAAATATCATGGCAATAACTGCTAAATATCATTATGATTCTTACTCGTTAGCCTCATTCTGCCAAACTGGGATCACTGACTCTCAATAAACAGCACGTCTTTCAACTCAGGCAAGGATGGACCAGGACCCCAGCAGCATAGCCAGCATGTTACTCTCCACTATTTTCTGTATCTCCTTTCCTTTCCTCTCCTCTCCTTTCCTTTTTCTTCTTGCTCTTGCTCTTACCTTTCCTTCTTTTTCTCTACCCTAGTTCCTAGGATAACAATTATTCCAGATGGAGAAACATACAGACATCAAGATCCTTAGAGATTTTTGTCATCAAAGTCAGCTTTCAAAAAATTCTCAGCCTAAAAAGTGTGTCCCAACATGTTACCAACTTGTATGTCCCAGAGGAGGGGAGAGAGGACAGGTACATCAGTGACAGCCCGGCTGACTTCGCAGCAGCCTCCAGCTCCACTCGAGCAGGGAAGCGAGCAGCAATGGAGTACTTCTCCGTGCAAGGGGAGAACACTGCCCGTGCCGGAGGTGCAAATGGAAAAGCCTGTGCCATCACACAGGACCCAGAAAGAGGAGCAGACCTTGGGCTCTTTACACCCAGTGGAGCGGACAGAAGAAAAGAAACATGCAGGAAATTGGAGCCATTAGAGACAAAAATTTCCGCTGTCTAAAATAGGTACTAAGGCCTGGCAAAGGCTTGGAGGTGTGTGTTACAGGCACTGGAACTACTCACATGTACACGTATGCCTGGTTTCAAAATCAGAGCTTGATTTAGGTATGCTGCTGAGGAAATTGAAGCTACATAAGTGGATTATTTTTAACCTGTCTGCGCTTTCTTGTACCCATGGCTGTAGATTTCCGGGGCTCATTTGTGCAGTGCCATCACTTTTCCCAGCTCTTCATTACAAAGCCAAGTTAATGGGAGCTGAGAAATTCGGATCGATTTTTCTTTCAAGTGGAGTGAAGTTGAACATGCCTTTTACTGACAGCTCGTCCGAAACCACAAAAATGTGCGAAGGGAAAATCTGTTTCTCCTCCGGTCAGAGGACATGCAGGGGGCTGGATGCTCAGCCGGTGTAAATGGCCATCACCTCCTCCACTCGAACGGGCCGCTCGCTCCTGCGACTTTCTGCTTTCCCTTTAAACAGCGGAGGCAAAGCAACATCAAACTTCTTTCCCACGCCGGGAAAGTCCTAACCTCGCGTCAAAGCGACAAAGGACGGCGGCGAGGGCCACGTCCCCGCCACCGAG